AACTTATTATTATAGATGTAAATTTATAAATTACTTTTCATCCGGAGCCAATGATTAAACAAGCCTAAGATTTCAATGTCATTGATCCAAATTCCAGAAGTTTTAGCATCCTTAAATTGCGAGAGTACATCTGCAGGTAAAGCCTCTTCAAATCCTTTAACCAAATCAAACTTATTTTTGAGCTTAATTTGATCTTCTAAATTATCTTTTTGTTGCTCATTTACAACTGGAGTATTTTTTTTTTTTAGGCTTTTTCTGAAATACGTCGTAGTCGACACTGTCTGGATTAAAGGGCATTAAACCACTGGCCCTAAATCCACTTNCGGGGCTCAAATCCAACTTTTAAAAAAATGTTTATTCAGTACAATGAGATTTTCTTAGGTTGTTGTTAAGCTTCTTTAATACCTAACATTTCAGCCCCTGTTAATGTTCCGTGAGTTACTACCGTATGGCTAAATACACAATGTGGTGTCATAACAGCAATTTCTATGCCTTAGAGCAAACATCTATTTATCGAATATTATGAAATAAAGCTTCTTTCAAAACTAGGCCAAAGTCTTCTTGTTTCAATTTTTTCAATTGATTATTTCCTTTCCAAATACTGACCGCTTTCCTCCAAATGTCTTTGAAAGGATGAAAGAATGCGATGTCGAGAGGCTGGATAACATGCGTCGAATTTGGAAACAATACAATCAATTCAATGAAATTCTCACGACAAAACCTGACTAAAGGAATATTAATGTGAGAGGAATGCCCGTCGAAATACAGCATAACTGGAAATTGAATTCCCCTTGTCACAAGCCAGGGATGAAAAACATTGGTCACATATTCGTAAAATATTTCAGCGGTCATCCAACCATTCTCAGACACTCCAATAGAAAAATCTGAGGGGAAACTTTGAACTATTTTTTTAGGCACATTTTCTTTGAATTTAAACATTACCATAGGAGAAACTCTGCTACCATCTGCACCGTATATAAATAATGCTGTTAAGCTTTCTTTTTCACTTGCATTAACAACTTTGTAAACCGATCGAGATCCTTTCTTTACAATCACTTTATCTGGCTTTGGCATAATCTGAACATTTGTTTCGTCGCAATTAAATACCGTGGAAAGATCAACATTAAGTAAGTCTTTGCTTTTTAAGAATTGTTTAACGTCGGTAAACCAATTTTTTAAATCAGCTTGCGTGACGGATACTCGAGTCAAAGTTAAATGTTGCGCTGTTCTTATTGACAATTCGGGATGACGATTTTGAAATTTTCCGTACCAGTGACGACCTGGTCTTCCATTAGTAAATGGGGTTTTTCTTTTGGATTTTAATACGAATGTTTGAACACTGTCAAGCAGCTCTAACTTCGTAACTGGATATCCATTTCGTGCTCTGCACAGTATCCAATTTACAACATCTTGCTTTTCCTCAACTGTCAATACTGTTGGAGATGAAAATTTTTCTTTTTCCAAGGCACTCGGATTTTTTAAGGCTCAATGAATACTAGCCACTGGTATTTTATGTGCACTATGTGCTTGCCTAAACGACGATCCATTTTTTACATCTGTAACAGCTGCTTTAAGGTCTTCAATGCTGTAATTATGTCTAGTTCTTTTTATTTGTTTCTTTTTTCCAACTTTCTTCTTACTTGGTCTTTTCCTACTTTTCTTTTCATTGGCCGTTAACTTTTCACTTTTCTTTTCGTTCTTTTTTGCCATTTTTCTTTCAACTGTGGACCTATATAAGTATAAATAAATAAATACTTCACTGTTTTTTATAATATGAGTTGCATGCATAAAATGTATGTATAGGTTAAGTTTTGTTTTTACATGAAAAACAAACCGATCAACGGATACTTACANAAAGTCAAATATTTATAACTAAAAAGTTAAAAATAGCAAAAATTAATGAATATTATAAAGTGTTACGTCGGCCTGACGAATTATTGGAGTATACGTTTGCGCTTTATAACTCGGGACTCACACTGGGTGTGTTGATGGGACGCGGGACTAGACAATAGTTGAATTACGTGGTAGGGTATTCGAAAAGGGGGTGCGAATGTTTTTGAGTGAAGGAAATTAAGTTACAATGACTCGAAGCGGTTGTTGTGCTGTAGCCTGATGCACTCACTCGCGGCGTACCTAAGAGTTGTCAATAGTACCCGGAGCGACGTATTGAAGATGTCCTGTTCGTGATCTAGAAACTACCAGTAGCGTCACGAGTAAAGGTGTCTTTCTAGAGTTTATGTGAAGGGGCGAATTATGGTTTAATTCGCGATCCATCTCGAATCCACCAATACTGTCACGAGTAATGGTGTTCGTTCTAGATTTTACGTGTAGATTAATTAATAATATATCTCCAGGGGTTCCGAGGACACCAATATCGTCGCGAGTAATGGTGTGCACGTTTGACTCTATGCGCGCGCTGGAAAGAAAAGAAGAAACATAAATTTTAAAAATTCGATAAATTTTTAACACTTACTTTTATTGAAAAGGAAATACGTATACACGTAGCGAACCAGTGCGGAATGTCCGAAATCGAAATTGAAACCGCGCTTGTGGGAGACTAAATGATAGCAGAGGTGGACTCTAGCTACCCAGTTGATCGTTCAAAGGTGAAAACAATAAGTAAATGATTTTTTTGGGCCCTCCAAGCCTTTTTATAGGGAGTAGCGGGCCTCAGTCTTGCCGGGGGAAAATCTTGAGGAAAAGACAATAGCCGAAAATCTAATAGGCTAGAACTGCTCTAGTTGAGCCACTCAGAAATTGGCACTTCCCTTATCCAGCTCACTCTTCTCTGTATGTCAGGAGAAGGGAAAGTGATTTACTTACTCATGCCCTTCCTTTCTCTTTTACTTCAAAATGTTACAGATTTTCATCTTGGCTTAATATTAACAATAAAATAGAATATTATTTACTTTTACGAATGCTAAACACTGTTCGTTAATTTAATCAAACTTATTGCAAAAAGAGCGGGAAAATCGCTTTATATTTCGTTTAAGTAACGTAAATTATATGCCTGCGATTATGAATGGTAAAAATCAGATAGTTTTTTGAGAGTTCATAAAGTTGCTCCGCTAGGTTTACCGTAGTTAATACTTCTATCGGTTATGTAATGTTGTTGCTTGCTAACGGTGTAGCATATGCGTTTTTTCTAACTATGTGTAAAAATTCTAGCATTTAATATTATTTTCGCTTGGGCTTAGTCTATATGTATTAACTCTAAGTTATTGTAGTATTTAGCATCATGTCATTTAATCTTAATCTATATATATTAAAGTTATTGTAGCATCTCATAATACATCACAGTGCAGCTGTCCCCAGTTAAACTTTTGCATCCATTGGTTGAAATGCATTTCGTTTGCTTTTCATTTCCAGTCAGCATAAGCCAGCGTGCATATGCATGAATCATAGTTGGTCATTGCGCTGCAGCTACGAGCAAACTTACAGGTGATTCACTTCCTTTCGGATGCTTGTTGGCTCCTCTATGCAATGATTATAAAAAATTTCACCTGGCAATACGTAGTAACTGTCATATAGTTATAATTTATTAATAAACACTTAAGTAACAAACTTATAAATGTCAGTAGATAATTTCTCTTTATATATGATTGTACATGTGTATCTATACTTTATGTTTAAGGAACGTTTGAAAATCCCAACAGACCCAAAAGATTGGTCTCAAATGCATGTTAAGCACTGGCTCCAGTGGGCTGTTAGACAGTTTAATCTTGTGTCTTTAAAATTAGCTGACTGGAACATTACTGGAATTCAACTATGTGATTTAAGTATTAAAGAGTTTCAAGCGAAAGTACCTCTCGATCCGGGAGATATTTTTTGGACGCATCTTGAATTACTCAAAAAATGCAAATCCGTTGGTAAGTGGTTCTGCAGTAAGTAAACGGCTGACTTGATTGGAAATCAAATTTTTTTATTTGTTCTTAGCTGTAGTTCAAAGAAGTCAAATAGAGCAGAAAAATAATACACTATCAGAAAATCCTGAAAGAGTAAAATTTCATACAGCTCATAAATTTTTATCTTCAAATACTAGTACATCTATTGACCTCTCCGGTGAATCTATAACAAACCTTGAAGTCACACCTTTCGTGATAGCTACATCAAATAAGATGATGAACACTGGCCAAATACAGCTATGGCAGTTTCTACTAGAACTTCTAACATGTCAAGAACATAATAGTTCAATACAATGGGTGGGTACTGAAGGAGAGTTTAAACTCAATCAACCAGAAGTTGTTGCTCAACTATGGGGAGCTCGTAAAAGTAAACCGTTCATGAATTACGAAAAACTCAGTAGAGCACTAAGATACTACTATGATGGTGATATGATATGTAAAGTTCATGGAAAACGTTTTGTTTACAAATTTGTTTATGATTTAAAGCAATTACTTGGTTACTCTGCTGCAGAGCTGAGTAAGTTAGTTGACCATAAATATTATTCTTGACTTTTAAAGAATTGCATGTGATGTATGTAAGTAAAGGTGTGTGTTATAAGAAAAGGTACTTCTGCTATTTAAATATGATAAAATCAGTGCACCAGAAAAATGTTTACAAATACCACAGTATCCTAAATTTTCCTACATTTTACTGTAAAATTTTTTCGCTGTTTTTTTTCATACACTTATATTTTATTTGCAATATCTGACTGTAGGATGGTAAAAGCTTGCGATTAATTTTGAATCTGTTTGTAAGCTAGCTAAAGAAATATTTTTGACAAAGATACATTAATAAAAATTCAGCTTTGTGGTAACGCTTTTAGTTGAATTTTTTTTCATCGAAAATCTGTACTTTAAACAGCCACACCATGGTTTTGTGGTTAGCGTGTGTGTCTTTAGATCTTGATGGCCGGGGCTCAAATCCAACTTTTAAAAAAATGTTTATTCAGTACAATGAGATTTTCTTAGGTTGTTGTTAAGCTTCTTTAATACCTAACATTTCAGCCCCTGTTAATGTTCCGTGAGTTACTACCGTATGGCTAAATACACAATGTGGTGTCATAACAGCAA